ATTTTTTTGCTGTAATATTGAGATATGGGCTGAACTCAAAGTGTTTAACAACGTTTAGCCACGTGATGCTTACGTTATTTATTTGTTGCTCAAATGCGCAGGTGCAAGCACCGCCCGTAGATAATACCAGTAGATAAAGTACTTTACTCACGGTTCTCGACTTACGGCACTTTTGTGTCTAAAAATCGTGGAAAACTGGCACTTTATACGTGGAAGTGTAAAAATGTATTTATTTACCAACTACGAGTTCGTAAAACAATAATTTCGGCTTGAATATCTTATTCATGATGAATAATATATGTTCCCTAAAATCATAGGACATTCTTCCAAAAAAAACATGCTCATAATACTTTCTGAGTCATAAACCTTCAAAAATAGTATTTTGTGCACTAGTGAATATTTTATTACTGGTTTATTATCATTATATGAGTTAATGAATTATTTATTATTGATTTTATTAATTCTCCCAGTAAAACTTATGTTTATGAAGTATCCAATTGCACTTTCTGTGAAAAAGAAATTAACACCATTATAATGGCAATGAAAGTCAGATTAGATGTTTTAAATTTCAACCATTTCTTGAGTTTGTTCATTTGCAAGCCGCGGATAAGCATCGTAATTACATTTCTGTGTTTTTCCTTTAATTATACTCTAAAGGTTACCACCCTGCCGACTTGAAAGCCCGCGATATTTCCAAGTTTGTTTTATTCATTTTCTTCGCTACTCCACGGGCGTTATCTAAAAGGTAAACTCGTGTCAAGTTATATTGTGTATTTTTATGATGTGAAGTGGTGCGAATGAGAAATCAATAAAGGTCGCTCGCTTTCGCTTGGTTATTAATTAGGTTCATTGAAAATGTAGGGATATCGGGTGCATGTTTAGTGTTTATTTGGTTATCAGCTTTCATTTATTAGAATTAGCCATAACATTTCTGTAAAAATTGAGATACATTTATGTCTGTAATTGATTGATGTGAGACGATTGTTATTATTAATGTTAATAGTCGGTTCAATGAACTATGCGTAAATACAAACATGAATTCTACATAATTTTTATTGTGACATGTTTGAGACGTTTGAGTAACTGTAATTTGTTATCAATGTAGCATTAATAATTTAGTAGTGTGTGTCCTTGAAGTATAAATATTACAATCGATGTTGGCACAATAAATAATAACATGAAAGGATTCTTTAGTTAAAAAATAGTATTTATGCTCGTACTAATTTCTTCTAACAACTTGATTTGATTATAAAACAGTCTAAATAATTACTTTTTTCTTTCTTGGAGATATTATGTGTACATTCTGCTAATCTATAATATAAAAATGAATCGCAAAATATGTTGGTTAGCGCATAACTCCACAATGCCTAGACCAATTTGGCCAATTCTTTTTTTAAATATTCGTTGAAGTCCAAGGATGGTTTTTAAGGCGAGAAAAATTCAAATAATTGCTGGTAAAACCCTAAAATCAGCCCTTTCCAATAGGATAAAACTTGGCATTGAGATTCAATCATAGTTATAGTTAAATAGTGGAATCCGAGATGGGGCGCTGAAGTACATTATTAGCAATTCTTTATATAATTAATTTCTTTAAAATAAAATTGCAAATCTTATTGATAGAATTGATAGAATTGTCTTGAACCACAGATTAAAATGAATTATATTTTTACTAAACACTACGGGGACGATGTCACGGGCAAAAGCTAGTATGTTATAAAATTTTAATTTAGAGATATGAGAAATGTTAATAATGCTTTTTGCGCCATCTAGATATGAATTATATAATAATAACTACGATAAAATCTCCATATTCACTTTAATCTCTTATTTTATACTCTTGAAGTTAAAATTTTGTTACCAAACTTTACACGATTTTCCACTGGACTAATTTGAATATAGTCTCAACATTTCATCAAAATCGGATAAACCATTTTGGAGTATATAAATTACATACATACATATTTACATTTGTAATTATTTCAAACATTTTTATGTTGTTTTTGAACAACTTTTTCTTTTCTCTTTATGATTTTAGGATCAAATTTAGTTTTTATATCTCCATTCTACCTTATGTCATTTTACAGCATTTTTTATAGTTATGCGAGTTGGCAAAGTTGTAGGCCGTTCTGTTAACGACAGAATGGTATTTTAGTGGCAAAACCAAATCATACATTTTTCGAGTGCTTTTTCTTCTTTTGGTGAATGATATAAAAGGATAATAAAATTTAGAACAATGGCAGAGAGTGTGGTGCGTTTGCGACCCAAAGTGTCACTTTGCATATTGATCGCGAGTATGCCAGAGGCGTAAATCCACAGGGAGATCTATAACTGCCCTAACACATCATCCACACAAAATATTCCTCATATAATGTTCAGAATTGTTCAAATTTCAACTGATAAATAAAACGTAGCATAAAATGTGCGTATTTTGCATTAAATTTTTATCTTTTTATCGTTATAGTGCTTTTATAGTTTTGTTTTAAACACTATCTCAATTATTCGCAGTTTGTATTTGAAATTGTCCTTTTATTATTCGGTAATTGCAATTGCACCATTAAAATACACCATTTTACTACCCGATCGTAATAGAGATATTTTTATGTTGGGATTGCGAGTGAATGTTTATACATTTTGATCTTTTTATCAGGAGAAAAAAGTTGTTATGCTAAGCATACAAGCTGATGCTGCAAAGGGTGGATTGAAGGATAACACCACAACACAAGGGCAACATTTACTGACCTTCATCTGTCACTCACGCACAGTTACTGTTCAACTCATTCATCTTTTCTTATATATGTTTTGGGTTTGGTGTTTTTCTTTTTTTTCTGTTTTTGGCTTCTACTGAAAGTATTGATGTTTACTTCAGCTTTCATTCAAACTTCCACTCTTGTTTTCACTTTCGTTTCACATCAATATCATTTATTTGGAGATATAGTTTCTTTGGGAAAGAAAAATGATGTTTTGGAGCTTTTAGAAATTCTACTCTTATTTGGAATTAATTTATTTAATATTATTAAAATTCCCATATTTCAGAGAATAACTGCAATTATTTATTATTTTTATAGGAATTCATTGTTATATTGTTTTTAAAACCTTTACTTTGAGAAAAAGCGAATTAGAAATTTTCGTCTGTTAACTACATATATCGAAATAGTTCCCAGATTAATTCTACTGAAATAAAAATAAAACCTTTCATTCATTCATTAAACAGTAAATTAAGCAAAATTTAGCATTTGTTTTATCTTCTGGAAAGTTATAAAAAAGTAACCTGAATGCAGCATTTTTTTAATTTATGTAAAAATTATGTAAAAATTAAGTGTTGAGTATAGATTTAATCCGAATATCCTATAATTATTGCTTTCGAGGTTTACATCAATATATATATCCACTAACAATGCACTGTTGACGTTATCTCAGCGTAGTATCGAGACGATGCATTGTTGATACTAGAATAACCACCATAATAAACCAATATTAGCCTACCGACATTGGATCGCAACATCACACGAGTCTCATTAAACGTAGGGGCGTGTTCGATATAATTCCATGCTGTCGATGTTGCTTTGATATCAGTACGAAATCGACACATCGGTGTGCGATAACGCGTCAAGTGACAGCCTACATCATCAACATATTGCACTGTACAGTTAATTAACCACTGCCGCGATAATTACCAGTTAAATTGATATATGAGGCTTTGATTTAGGAAATATATGAAAATCTATAATTATTATTATAGTGGAAAGCTTTTGGAAGTGATTACATCAAGTTAGGATTTTGCTTGGATTTTAGTTTTGGAAATGATCCAAAAGCATACATAAACAAATTCATTCAATTTACTTAACTTTTCAATCACAAGTATACTCGAATCATTGCCGATTTGAAAAAATAAATAAAGTGGAACATTTAAAGAACATTTGGCAGAGATATTTGTTGATTTATCGTTAGTTTTATACGAAAATTTGTTTTTGTTATTTTTCCCCGAAATGAATTGCGGTGAATGTTATCTCATCAATAATTTATTATTGACATTGCTGTAGTTGTACAATGTCAACAATTCGAGCGATTCCATTCTTACCCTTCTCTAAACCCCTTTACTAACCACTTTACTCGCTTTTCTTGTTTACTACCAACAGTTGAATCAGTTGCCAAGTCATGAATACATGCACAATCCTTAAACTGTTATCATAGGCTATATCATCGCATGCCTAAAATTTTGGTTTTGTTTTCTTATATTTTTCTTTCAAAATGTTTTGATTAACTGGGTCAAGGAAAGAAAACGACAAAATAAAATCTAATACCGATTATTCCATTATAGGGGAAGGGGGCAAAGTGGGCCCCTGGGGTAAAGTGGGCCCCTGAAATTCAGGAGGCTTAAAAATTGAGGGTCAAAGTGGGCCCCTAAAATTTTTGATATATAAGATGAAGTTGCAAGAACAACTTATCCACAACAAATTCGAAGTAAGAAATAAAAAGAAAATAATATAAGCAAAAAATTGATACAAAGGTAAGAGCCTAATTTTTATGAGTGGGGCCCACTTTGCCCCATATTCTGAATTTTTTATTTTGATAGACACGTCTTATTAATATTGAATACTGAACAAGGATGTAAAAATAGGGTAACGAGTAAAAAAGTAAACAAATTCCCTTTTTCGCTTTTGGGGCCCACTTTGCCCCACCCTCCCCTACTAGCCATCTTTCTTGGGGTGATGACATATTTAGATGAAAATCAATAGAACCCAGGCTGGTTAACGCGTCAGGCTGCTTCTAAATATGATTAATTAATCAAGGACCTGAATAATATCTTTGTGTCTTCCTTCTACTATTCACTTCCTTGCTTTTCTGCATCTGTAAGATTTACAAACCACAATTGTTTGTATATATTTGTTATTTCCGACACAATCCACCACACAAATTTGTCCTTGTTTGTCCTTGACATCTTTCAGAAATTAGATCACCATCACCACACAAGTTAATTCCGTGTATATTTTTTTATAAAGGGACTAGAGGAATTTAATTTCGGCGGAGATGGGTCAGTGATTTCATTAAGGTTGTTTTCTTACCGTCATTCGGGCAAATCCAAAGCACGTTCACCGACCGCGAAGGTTTTATTTTATCTTTGGTGGTTTGAGATGTACGAAAATACCTCAGAGGCATGCCTAATACATAAAAGGTTTGTTTTGACCACGGGAGAAGCTTTGGGTAATGGATTCGTTCACTGAGGACTGGGATAGTACCTGAAGGGTAGTTGTTGTGTTGAGTTTGGTTGTCCTCGGTCTGGACGAAGAAGGACTACCCAAAAAGGCTTAGGACTTTAGATTAGGATGCAAACTTTATAAGCTTTAGGGATTTTATAGTTAATTGATTTATTTTTTAAATGTAGGTGGATGAAATAAGTTCGGCGGTGTTAGGGTATTTATAATTCAGGGACAAAGGGATCTGCTTTTACGATCAGAAAATGCTAAGCAAGTTTTACGACGGTAGGAAGGAGTGACAGACTTTGGAATAAACCAGTACCTTTTGTACCCGTATATGAGAATCATTTTGGTGACACTTGATGCGATAGTTTTGAATAAAATGCATAAAACTGTTTTCAATAAAACAGCAATATCTATGAAAATATTAAATGCAAGGTACTGGAAAATATATTGTTCTAGAGAGAACTTAAATCTTTATTTTAAACTGGTTTTGTTTATAAAAATGAATCGCAAAATCTGTTAGTAAGCGCATAACTCAATAACGCCTTGACCAATTTGTCCAAGTCTTTTTTTAAATGTTTGTTAAAATCCAAGGATGGTTTATACGTCGAGAAAAATTTGAATAATTGCCGGGAAAATCCTAAAGACAGCCGTTTTCTATAAGATGAAAGTTGGCATTGAGATTCAATCATAGTTATAGTTAAATAGTTGAATCCGAGATGGCGCGCTGAAGTGCATTATTAGCAAATCTTTATATAATTAATTTCTTTAAAATAAAATTTCGAATCTTATTGATAGAATTGTCACATACTATGTCTAGAACAAGAGAGTAAAACGAACTACATTTTTATTAAACACTACCGGGACGAAGTCGCGAGCAAAAGGTAGTTATATATTAAATATATCCCCGTTTATTTATTATATATTTTACAATTATTACAATTATAATTAATAATACATAAAATACATATATAAAATAAAATTTATATTTTGGGTGCTTGATACATATTTATATTTATTCATAAATCTAATAAATACTTATATAACATTTAAACAATTTATCAACAATGCTTTTCATAATCAATAATTTTATCATAATTATAATATATTAAAATTCGTTATTAGTGCATAATATGGTTAAAACAAGAAATACAAATAATTACAAATCATTAAAATAAAATATGAATGCGTTTTTCGATTTTAATATTTTCAAGAAATTTTTGGTCGTACTTTAGTTAGATTAAAAGCATATAATTAACGACTAGGGATTAATAACTAAATGCAATTAAATTTTCGCCGGAATATACTCCTTCGTGTTACTCTTGGCAATTTCAGTATTTTATTATTATTTTCGCCACAATCGCTTGCAAATCTTTATAGCCTTTCTTCGCACACCTTATTTACTTTCATTATTTATAGCTACTCTCTTCTAAATTACTCCTAAATTCATATTTACTGCTTCTTGTTATTCGTTGTATTGAAATATTATAATAATTAATGGTCGCCACGTGTAGCCATCAATTAGCCACCTCGTACGGTTCAAACTCCATCTCCTCGGTCTTTTTCGGTTTGATTTTAACTTTCTCGTAAAAATCATACGTCTTTGCTTTATGGTTATTGTGTGTGTACGTGATCCCGGAGTAGGTTTTGTTATCCTCTCGCATTTCACCCCACTGGATGAGTTTCTTCGCCTTCATTTCTTCACCGATGATTTTCGGAGATTGGTTCACGCTGGTCACGTGCGTCACGTGGTTGACGTTGTTTGCGCCGTTCATGATATTGACGTTCATAGTGGCCATCAAGGGTTTATGACCATTTTCTTTCGTGTGATTTAGTTTATTACCATTTGCGACTGGATGAGTATGAGCGTTGAGTTCGTTGATCATTTGGACATTACTCTGGACATTCACTTCTTTGATAGACTCATTGATGTGATTCTTTTCGTTGATACTCTTTGTCAATGCGTTTTGCTTCTTGAGGTTATGTTCGTCTAAAATCTGCTTTTGTTTCATTATGAATTTCTTTCTGTATTCACTTAGATTCTTGGTTCCTACTAGCTCCAAACGTGAACTGCAACTGTTAGACTTAAGTAACTTGAACTTAACTCCTTGGTAGGAATTAGGTTCTTGATTTTGATTTGGTGGTGTTTCTTGGTTTACTGTTGAAACATCTCGGGTTTTATATTTGCATGCACAGTTACACTTGGGTTTCTGATTCTTTTGATTCTGGATCTCATCCATGATTGCCTTGGTCATGGCTTGTGGTTTACGTTTAGCTGTAACTCTTCCTCCGTAGTAAGTTACAGAAGTTCCGCATTCTCTGATCTTTTCCAAGATGTCTTCGCTTACATATTCACAACATACATCTGCTTCTTCATCGTATTCATCGTTTTCATCACATTCTGACATGTTGGAACTACCGTCAGATGCAGAACATCTATCTTTATCAGGATCTACAGGTCTGATATACTGTACAGTCTGTTTTGTCAAAGCGTCTAGGTGTTTTGAGCTTTGGGATCTAGGCATTTGTCCTTCAAACATTTGCCTTACTTGTTTTACTGTATCAGGGTTAGGAGTTCATCATCGTTGACTTCTCGGTTTACTCTGATTGGGTGATAGAAGAAGTGTTTTCTAAGACCTACACTTTCTATATTTGATGGTGGTTTACCAGGAGTTCTGATGAATTTGGTCACTTTGTTTGTGTGATGTGCATTGTTAGATCCCACATATTGAATATTGGTTCTAATTGGTTCAATGATAACAATGTTGTTATCGATTAATAACTCTTGGAAGGAATAATCTTGTAAATATTGCATTAGGCCATCAAATTGTGATTCCTTGTCACATTTTGCAAAGATCTTCTTTTGGAATAAATCAGATTTTACTACTCTGTAACGGATATGATCAAATTCTGGTTCAATGGATTTTGATTTCTTTACAGCTGATTTTTCTTTTTCTTTACACTGATTTGCATCATTTGTTTCTTTTACCGTTTTAATATCTTTTTCCACTTTAGCAGCTGTTGGTATTGGAAGAGGATCATCATTCCTTACAATAATTTCCTCATATTTATCATCCTGTTCTATCAATTCCAGAGTGTTGGGGTTTAAGCTTTCAAATTGGTTATCAAAGTAGGGATTCTCAAGTAGTCCTTGTTTGTTTGTGGCTTTTTGGAGTTGTGCATCATTATTCTCGAAAAATTGCTTAGTCATCTGAACCCTTGATGGGGCTTTAGCTTCCGCATCAGATTCCTTCTTTTCATTGGGATCTGCTTCAAACTTCTTTTTGACTTCTTCGATTTTTGTTTGCATTCCGACTATTTTACATTTACCACGTTCTTTGGTCACGTCTTTAATGGGATCTTGCTTTTCTTCTTTTTTGAGCAGCTTGAATCATTGATTCTTTTTCTTTTGGATCTTTACCAACCATACTCCCCCAGTAATTCCTCATGGTGTTGATTTTTGATTGGAATTCTTTATTTAACGTTCCATTGTTTATGTTAGACATTTTGGTATCTTCAATGAGTACCTCAACTTCTTTATCACGTTGAAATAATTCGTTAGTGTTGATTTCTTCTCCGTTTACAATAACTTTAGGATTTTTCTGTACCTCACCTTTAACACCGTTCAGTGTTTGATTTAATGTTTTCACTGCTTCAATAAAGTTCTTATCAGATTTATTCTTTTTAGCTTTGGGTATTTTCGAAATTTTAAGTTCAAAATCCACCGGAATGGAACTCCTTGCTGTAACGTCAAAATGATTACCAATATTAACTATGAACCGATTGGTAGACACGTCTGAAGGGGATTTCTGAAGTTTTTCACACTTACGAAGTTTGCGATCGATCTTCTCGCACTTTTGCAAGTTCTTGCTCACGGTAATATCAGGCAATGAAAAGTATTGATTTTCAATTAAGTTGGTATTCTTCTTTCCGGATTTGATAACGTCTCCAACCGTAGTATCCTGGGTCGAATTAAAAGCTCTTGAAATTCGCTTACTCAAAAAGTTTTGCAAAGGCTTCTTGGAACCTTTCTGCGTCTCTAAAAATTCTTTAAGATAATTATGACTGTGTTTCTTTGCTTCCTTGACGTCGTCCTCGTCACTGGACGGCTTCTGTTGTTCGGGAACACTCACAACTGTTTTATAATCATCTGGTCGATATTCCTCTTCAGCTTCTTCCTGCGGTGGAACTTGGATGCTTGTCTTGATCAAATCTTTGTCGGCAGCGAGCGCGGGAATTTCATCATATATAGGATTCGCTTCTATATTAGAGAATTCCGACTTGGACTCACTCTCCTCGTATGTGGTCCGCTCCTGATAATGATTCTGCTGCTGCTGTTGCTGTTGTTGTTGGTAGTGGGAGTAGACTTGGGGTTCACCGCTGTAATATACAGACTCTTCTTTTCAGGACGCAGTTCTTGAATGATGGGTTCCTCTTCAATGTGTTGCGGTTGTTCCTTTGTTGATGATTGGGCCTGGCCTCGTTGTTACTATCCGAACTGGTTCGCTCAACCGGTTCGTAGTATTTGGGGTCGTAATCGGACAAAGTTGAATCAGACTCGTAACCGTTGCTAGCACCAGCGAAATTTGGTAGACTACGTGGTTTTACATAAGTTTCCGGCTCGGGATTATAATACGGGGTGTTACCTCTAATGGTACGTGGTTTACTCTGATGGTAATGCTCTTCTACTTTATCATAAAGTTGTGTTTTACTCAAAACAATATTCTCATCATAGGAAATATTGGTGCTTTCCGGATATAAAGAAGACTGACGATATTTAGAATCTCGTGTGAAGTTACCAACTGATACGTTGTCAGTGAACGAATGGTCCGTGTCACATTTACTATCGGGGTAATAGTTTGGAAGACTTAAACCACTGTCTTCCGTGTGGTGTTGCTGGTGGTGGTTGTTGTGGTGAGACGATACTTGTTGAGGTTGCGGCTTGTAGTTGGCAGCGTCGTGTTCTAGACTATCAATATCCGTTGTGGAATGTCTCAGGTGTCCAACCGAGGGTAAATATTGTGAAGATGACACGTCTTCGCGGTACTTAAACCCTGGTTGTTGTTGTGGAACAGCGTACTCTAATGGACCACGTGTCAATACACTCAAAGTACTGTGATCTGTATACAAGCTCTCGTGGCTTATGCCTCTCTGAAGGGAACTCCTTGAAGAGCTGAAAATTTTATATTATTTTAGAAGTTTTATATTGAAAATAAATAAATAATAAAATATTGCTTACTTGTTGCAACGATCAATCAATTTCGCTCTTGGGATCAACTGTGATCTCCTTCGGGCGCGTGTCGGATTCGGGATGTCAAGATTAGTAAAAATATCCTCTCTGGATATAGCTAAACTGCGACTTCTTCTGAGCGTGGATTCGGTGGGTTTGTGGTCGCCGAGCGGATTTGAGGAAACGTTCTCTAAACTGCCTTGCAGTAACTTTTGGCGGTGGCGTTTGGTGTAGGTTTGATCTTTACGCCGCGAATGATGGCTGACTTGATGGTGGAGTAACGAGTGGTGGTTGCGATGGTCTTTTAGTGATGCGCGGTGGTTCAGGGCGTTCTCGCGGTCTAACCTACGAAAATAAAATAAATGTAAAATAATGTTGAATGTTTTGTGGAATACAATATTGATTTTTGTGTTTTCTGTTGCAGGTGAGTTTTGGCTTCAGCGGTTACAGATGCCAGAATGTCTGCAAAGTTTTGGAGGTTGTTAATCACAGCCAGAAGCAAGTAATACGAGGTGGAGGAAAGGAAAAGTACGGTAGAATAATATTTTAACATTTAGGATTTGTTTTGGTGTTGGTTGGTGACGGGAACTTTCAAAACATTTTAAATTTATATATTTATCTATTTACATAAGAATATGAGAATTTATGTATGTATGTTCCTCATTAACACCATAACGACTGGATAGATTTTGATGAAAATTTCTGACAATCTTTAGATTAGAATGGCGGTGAATCATGTAAAGTTTGGTAGCAAAATTATGCCTTGAAGGAGGCAAAATAAGGGATGAAAGTTCTTAAGGAGATTTAATCATAGTTATAGTTACATAATTCAAGTTGGGATGGCGTTAAAGTACATGATTTACATTTGTACCTTTTATATAAGAGAGATTTTATCATTTTTAAATAGAAACTATAGTTTTATTAATGGATTTTGCGCATATTAAGCACAAAAATCAACTGAGTAATAATAACATATAAGCTTTTTAATCAAAATTTCCACAAACGAAGTCGCGGGCAAAAGATAATTTTTTCATAGAATATTGTTTCCAAATAAATGTCGATAGTTTTTAAATGAATGATTGCACCATAAATTTCTTATTTGTTTGGAGCTTTACTTTCAAGTTTGCTCACTTGATGAGAATTCTGTGAAACCTCAAGCAAACAGTATTGCAATTTTATTACAGCGCATTCGCATTCATAAATTTTTAATATTGACTCTTTTTCTCTCTTCTCCCGGAAATATAAAATCGAGAATATTTTATGCAAATATCATTTAACATTTAATATTTAATAATTCACTTCCTAGTGTCACATTCACATTACAAAATTTACATTTGAGCGCATCGTTTCATGCAGTACTTTCACATCGTGCATACACACGTGTTCCGATTGTGCGCATAATAATTTTAAAACACATATTTTTATGCAATCGATTACTTCATTGCGTTGCAACTTTCCATTGTGCAAATGAACGCGAATTCACACACAACTTCTCCTCTTCACTCATCCGTGAATCACTTTGCCAATCACTTTGATTTTGTCTCGACTTGCAGCAATTTCATTTAATTTACTGCAATAGCATTCAACTTTATTACCACGGTGTCACGTTCATTTAATTACGTTATTTATACGTTTAATTTATACCTAAATATTGCTACCTATGTGTTATGGACGACGTAATTAAAAGGGAAAATAAATGACGAATCGTGAATTCTAATTGCGTTAAACGCGCCAGCGCATAATTCGCACGTCCCAGTAAATTGAATTAGCGCTTAATTAACACACAATCAAAAGTTACACTTGACTCGCGGTCGCGAGGATTTTCAACGATTGTGTTATAAAGTATAGATTCGAATGAGTGCGGCGGCGTCATGAACTTTGTTTGCATTTCGTACAGAGAATAAATTATCATATTTATCACGCAATTTGTGTGCTTCTGCGTATACTTTTTACATGAAAATAATTTTACATGGAAATAAATCTGGCACAAGGACCATTTGATCATCCGGCGTCGTGTTTTGCTATTTATTTGTTTTGGTAATTGAATCAGAGTAAAATTTACAAGTTACATAAATGTTATTTCATGGAAGTTTCCTTGAAAAGTTTTAAGTTTTAAGATTTTAAGATTTAATTTTATACTTTTTTGAATTTTTTGTCTATTCCATTAAAAAAAGGAAATGAAACCTTTAGTAAAAGCACGGAAATTAATTCCCCGGTTGTTGCATTTGTTCCCTTCATTGCGCTTAGTAACCGAGCAAGAAATCTTGTCATCGTGGTGAAATAAGCCGCATTGAAGTCAAAGTCCTTCTCGTTTTTTCAAATTAAAAAGTGTACTAATTCACAGACGCGGCAGGAAGAACGAGACACAACCTGGTTTTAGCGAAATTATTTTTGCAAGATATTAATTCCAAGAAATTGCCAACCTTGCGAGATTTAGGTTATTCTCCACGGAAAAATCTTTATTCGGCCATGTTCAGCTTGATGAGCAACTCAACTCTTTTTGTTCTCTTTCTTCTTTTTACTTCACTTTACTTCATTTGTTATAACAAGGACTTAGATGTTAAATGTTCGGCGAAGGTCGAATAAATGAGGCAGGAAAAGGACACTGTTATGTTTGCGCGTGCGTCGCGACAGCACAAGTCGGAATCGTAAAGTGAAAAGGGAACATAGACTGAAGCGTTAGTCTCAAAGAAACTCGTGACAAGAAAGAGCTTTACAATTTATTGATGCTACAGAGACAAATTTAGAATTTCATGGAGTAAATTGCTTGTTGGACTTGTCAAGGACATTGCTTTTGCCGTTTACTTAGATTCGGAACAATTTAATGTTGATTTTGTACAAGAAATCGTCACGAATGATTAAATTCTGTTGCTAGGCTATTATGCAAAGTAAACCAGAGTAAATGCAATTTATATACACAAAAATATTTTACTAAAGTTACAAAGTAAACTAAACTAAACTAAATTATCGTTTATAAATTTATATTACAGGATATTTAGTTTATCTTTCAGTGAATGTGCAATGAATTAAAATGTTGGAATGTTGGAAATGTGGCAACTTCCATCTCTCTTCCTATTTACATCTATTAAAAGTTATTAAAAACACCTCGCGCGCGCACGGGTACTATTTATACCCGCCGGAAATGCGGAATACGTGTCGGCGCGCACGGAAATTCAATCTTTTCAATCTCGCCCCTCAACTTTTCCAATTTCGACTTCCGGCTCTGAGCTGCGAACGTCGAATCGGTGCGAATGAGGGATGAGAATATGAACATGTGGCATAACTCATTCGAGAGCTACATTCGGGCATATTTTACTCTACTGTGGCGCTGAAAGGGTTCACAACCCTTGTTATCACACCAATTTAGGAAATTATTAAGATTTATTACTCAATTTCATTGCCCTATATTTTTATTTTAACAGGAACGTTAAAAATTGAATTTTAACAAAATTTTTGATTTTTTAATTTTACGTTTTTAACATTCAGTATTTGATTTGTGGAAACTTCAAATACTCGTTTTTCAACTTTTAACTTTGAACGTTACACACCACACACCATATCTTGATATCCTAATATTCACTAAGAGCATTTCCGAGTGTAAACCGCCGGAATTTTCAATTTCCACGTTTTATTGACTTCTCCAATTTCGTTTGAACTTTTTATTCTACTTTTAGTATTTACATTGAAATGAAAACTTTATTTAGCGTAATATTTGATTTTGATTTATTAATTAAATGCATGATATTTTCAAAGTTTATGACGTGTTTTTGAAATTATTCATTGTGGATTTTCATATTTTCACCGCACGTCATATTAAAGCCTACTTATTATTCATTAAATTTTTTCTTGTGATTTTTTATTGCCGCTGAAACTTTTAAGCGTGTACTTGAGTTATTTTCGCAATAAATATACAAATTGTGAAATTTGTTTCATATTACCACATTACAAGCTGATTTTTGTGTCTTTTGCCATTTTTATTGAATAAACCAGGCATAATTTGAAATTTAGTCGTGTCTAATTTGTCCAAGACTCGATTATATTCTTACATAATAGCAAAAGTTGCGATAGTTTTGAACATCCGACCAATTTTCTAGCAAACTTTATCCCATTAGCGACGGATTAATGTCATAACTTGTAATTTAATTCCTTTTGCGTTGCATATTTTCCAATTTTCTGATTTCATGCCATTGATGACACTGTGAAGTTTGTTCTTGTGGCTAATTTTGTTAGAGTGGTTTTAAGTAGGTATGTTATAATTTTATACTTGCTGGAATAATGTCATAACAATACACTTATTGAACATTTGACGTAGTTATGGTTTGGTCATTAGTGTCGCAAGATGGTGTTGATGTTGATGCGCGGAACAGCAGCGCGTAAACACGATTACGCATTTTAATTGCTCGTTAAATTTATGTCAACAAAATTGAGTCGCAGCTGTGCGCCACCACTGGCATTAATCATAATAAATGTTCTTATGAAGTTAATAAAGGTGGAAGGTAATAAAATTTAATTGTGTTTAATATATTTTAAGTATATTTTAGTTATTTATGAGGAACAATGAAGTATGATGGTGGTAATCAACCAAAGTTGTTGATTTTAAATTTTTTGATAAAGTCCAATCTACTATATAAAAATAAATCGCATAATATGTTGGTAAGCGCATAACTCAACAACTTCTAAACGAATTTGGCCAATTCATGTTTGAAAATGATCAGTCAAAGTTCAAGGATGGTATTTACGGCGAAAAAATTTGAATAATTGCCGGGAACACCATAAGGACAGCCCTTTTCTATAGGATAAAAGTTGGCATTGAGATTCAATCATAGTTATAGTTAAATAGTTGAATCCGAGATGGCGCGCTGATGTGCATTATTAGCAATTCTTTATATAATTAATTTCTTTAAAACAGAATTGCGAATCTTATTGATAGAATTGACACATACCATGTCTAGAGCAAGAGAGTAAAACGAATTACATTTTTATTAAATACTACCCGGACGAAGTCGCCAGCAAAAGCTAGTAGGGAATAATTGTAACTTGATTGGAATGCAATGTTTTTATGACTTAAAGCGTGCTTATTGATGTGATAAAAATGACTTCTCGTATTGAGCCTTTCAGAGGGTGGACTGATAAATGCCAGATCATTATTATAAAAGTACCAATAATTGTTCTCTCTAATGTTGGTGCGCCGCAATAAAGCGCTTTTATCTACGAGCACGATTCTTTCGAGCTTTATAAATTTATTACAGGGCTATTATATCGCGATATCATGTTGCAATTGAATGTGAAATCGATATCAATCAGGCGGTAATTACGCTTTAACAATGTGATTACTTTTCAATCAATGAATAATTTATTTTATTCTAAAAGCCCTAACAATAACTTTATTTCATAAAAATTTTAAAACTTGCGTTT